CAATAGATGGCCTGGAGCAGCCAGAAAGGTTAGGTTTTATTTTAGGAGCAGTTATGCAGTTAAGCAGTTAGAGTTATGATACCAAAATTATGGTAAATGCAACTTGCACACAGCAGCTGTTATTTCTTTTGTCATCAGCAAATATAAGAAAGACAGCTTCAACATCACCTAGAATACATACATTTCATATCATTTGGGCTGCTGGCGCAAAACTACAACCTCTGAATATGTGACATCATCAGCACGAGCTGTCTCTGTGTGTTTGTCATTGAATGAAGGTGTGGCATCTCGGGATGATATGAGCTTGATGTCAGAGTAGACCACATCCTATAAGTAAGTGTGAGAGAAAGTGTCAAGGAGGAAACTTTGTTACTTTGCTCTCTTTTATCTCTTTTCCTTATCACAACAACAGCATAATTGAACTTAATTTGACTGAAACGTATTCAGCTGTAAGTCAGAAATTTAGCTTCAAACGAACTCTGAGCTCACCTCCTCAATAACAGGTGGCCTGGCCACATCAATCACTGAACCACCTGTATCTGAAAGACAGATACAGATAGATTTGGTCAAGGGAACTGAAAAAAGCAACAACAGATGCAACAAAAAATACATTCATGTGTAATACATTAGGTGTGTAGAAATAGAGTGAAGGGGAACTTGTGCTTTTGTTCTCACCAATGTGGACACGGTGTCTGACCGAAGAATGAAGTCTGAATAAGAAAAAACAACAAAGTTGCTGCAATTAGTTTAGTTTCTGCATGTAATAACCTGACCTGAACTGTATTTTCTTTCTAATCCTTGAAACCCTTTTGTATAAAGCATTTATACCGTCTTAAATAAGCCAAGAAAATGTTTTGAAGAATTTTACAAGTCTAACAATAAATATAAAACTACATGATGCAGAGTTATGCATACGCCTAAACAGCTCATGGTAGCTCACCATCTTAAAAAGTTGGTTGGTTGTTTCTGTAATTTGTGTACTGTATATATACAAATTAAAGACCAAAATAGAAAGAGGAACAAGATCCTCATTAGTCCAGCATATACAGTAATACTTTTAAATATAACAGCTGATATATTTGTCACATTTATGACATAAAAGTCTTGGTTATGGATTTTTTCTCTATAGCATCTACACTCCTACACAAAATACACATCAGACACACACACACACACACACACACACACACACACACACACACACACACACACCTTCTGATGAAGATGAGGTAAGTTATGGTGGCCATGATCAATAACAGCAACATGACTGCAATCACTATTGCAGAAACCATCTTTGGTGATAACGGCATCTGTTCTGGGAGAAGAAACATTACTGTGATGAACTTTGTGTGTGTCTATTGTGAAAATGTTTTAAGTTAAGAGTCTTTACATTATCCCAGTCCGTTTATCATTGCTATTTCATTGGTATAGTTGGGAGATATTAGGAAACACACACATAGCATAATCTTTCTTTTAAAAGTTGTATTAAATGATCCCACTTATTTACTAAGAGAATTAAAGCCATTTTATTCCCCACTGACAAGTAATTGACAGTATGTCAACTTCAAATGTAAAAAACCCAACAAAATATTGTATTCGTGTGTGTAGGGGAGACTGGGGATGGTTGTAACATTTTTGACATTTCTGAGCATTTTTTAAACCAGTGCATTCAAAATGTGATACAAACTATATGTAAAGGCCTTTTCACACGGGAAGTGACAGCCCGCCTGCGTAGTCGCCTGGCCCCGCGGGGTCGCTCTGTGCTTCTCATGTGAAGACACCGAGACAGACGCTCTGCGAGTAAACGGAAGGCGCTCAATAGATAGTAACCACGGCAACGGCTTCTGTGCACTGTATTCCTTCATAGAAGTGAAACTATAGCTAAGTAACGTTAGCTGATAGCTATATATATTATAGGCTATATTATTCATATAGCTGATAAATCTATTGATTGATTGATTGATTTTTATTTAGAAGGGACCATGTGCAATTAATAACATAAATGTAAACATTTGATGCATTACACCAGAGTTAGCCTTA